TACATAATAATAATAGTCCCTCGACGTTGTGGATACCCCTTTGTGACAGATGCCAACAAGCATACCACCTAGATACGGAGTTTGCTCCCTATTATACATATATATAACCTTGGCGACTGACCGGGCATAATCTTTAAGAGATATTCGGCTTTTGAAATTTTGCTAATTTGTTACTCACATTTATTACCAATTGAAACTTGTGCGTTTTATTTTATTTTATTATATTTCTTTTGTCGCATGTAAAGACATTAAGAGAATAATATTCAGACGTTCATAGACAGACATTATTCGTCTTTCTGTTTTGCCCAACCTCCTTCTCACCCCACCACCACGCTCCTAGTAAAGGAAATAAAGAACAACTTACCACAAAGTTGACAAATGAATAATGTACTTAGATGAAATGAAGATATTAAAGAATAAAGTGCGGTTACAAGTGTGTGGGTGTGGGTGTGGGTGGGTGGCTGTGTTGTTTTGATCAATTTTATTCCCCTCTTTTTTTCTTTAACCATCATTGTGTGTGTGTGTGTTTATGAATGAATGTTATTATTATATTCACTAGTGGTCTATTGAACTTGTATCCTTTCATGTGTACATTTGTGTGTGTGTGTGTGGCGTGTATTTTTATGATAAAGAGTAAATGTTTACCTTAAAATGTAGACGTTTACTCTCTTTTTTCACAATATAAACTTTTAAAAAAAATTATTATATGCACGTGAAGTGGTTGGAATAAGTTAACCATGAATGAAATCAACCATTACTTTTCTTCTTTATATTTTCTTTATATTTGATGATAAGAGAGAGTTCAAAACAATAAAAGAAGGGTATTCATATTCAATAGGTATACTGTGAGGGTATAAAATTCAAAGGGATATATTATTTATTATACGAGTTTGAGCATGGATTAATACCAGTTAGAGAACCATTGAAAACTAGTACTGGAGTACTGCCAGACAGCTGTTTCGTCAGTCTAGTTTGGGAATCATCGGAAGTACCCACATACTGTCAAGCTTCGAACCCAGGACCTCCTGGCTATAAGTCAAGCTGGCTTGTATACCATTCAGCCACTGGGACCCGACCCTATTCAACGGCAAACACATGAATTCTAACTTCTACCAATTCGTGATTTAGCTCGCTAGTGACTTGCTACATGACGGAGTTTCCTGTAGTGAGTTCTAGTGAGAAGTCGTGACCAGTGAGGTCAATCCAGATGTCATGTGTGAGGATGGATTTCCCACCGATGACCACTGATTGGTTGGTGCCAGTCGGGCCAGGAAATCACGAATTAGTAGAAGTTAGAATTCATGGACTGGCCATTGAATCGGGTCGAGTCCTAGTGTCTGAATGGTATACGAGCAGCTTGACTTGTATCCGGAAGGTCCTGGGTTCGAACCTTGATGGTCTATGGGTACTTCCGATAATTCCCAAACTAGGATGAAACAGCTGGTTGCCTAGTACTCTAGTGGTGGTTTTCAATGGTTCTCTTAATGATATCAATCCGTGGTCGAACTCGAAAAACACATCCAATCCTTACAATCAAAACTCTTGAATATTATTGATTGTTTCTTGTTCTTCTTTGACATATGTTTGGTCATCCTTGTTTGGGACTCTTCATCAGTACGCACTTACCTCTAGGGTTTGAACTCAGGACCTTCCGGTTAGAAGGCTGGCAAGCTCATAAACCATGAAGCCACTGCTTAGGGCATACATAGGTCTTCAGCGGAACATCTTTATTTTCAACTCAGTTGTATCAACCATTAATTATCCGCAAGCTTCCACTACCACTTCTTTTTTATTACACGATCTTCTTCATGTCATCCTTGGAACCAGGCGCAACCCTACTCCCCTTCATCGCCGCACAACGCTTCATATTCACATTTTACTTAAGGGTGTAGCTGGTGTATGATGTGACATTTTGTGGTTTCTTCTCAGCTGGCTGGCTACACATACCTGAACAATAAAAAATTACCCAGTGAGTGATGATTGTTTAACTGAATTTTAGATTTTCCCGTCGATTGATTGAAACGAAGTGCTCTGTCTTAAACAATTAGCATGACCTGTTGCACAAGAGGTGGCTGGCTCTCGTGGCCCAAGTGGTCTAGTGGATAACGCTTTGGCGTTTGAAACTATGGGCACTGGGTTCGAGCCTCTGGGAACATCATCACTTACTGGGGAGTGCAGGTACATTCAGCTGACTAGCGAGTCCCGAATAGGACGAAATGCACGTTATCCTGGATTCCACTGCGAGTCAGCATCCACCAATTAAATTCTAATTACATGCCCAGACATCGTCGAAGCATTTGCACAAGAAGCCGACATGTCAACCTGAGACCTAGCACTTCGGTCCAATCAATCACCGGGAAAATCTAAAATTCAAGAATAATTATTGGGAAATATATAACTAATATAAGTGTGGAATGATGCAGACAGCGAAATAATTAAGAATAACACATTTACGCGCACATCTTTGTATTTTCAATTAGATCTCATCAGGCCTAATTAACTGTAATATACCCACATATTTTTACAAATAAAAAAATTCAAATATAAACCAATCACGGTGTTTTGTCGATAGGATAATAAGATGGTGAATATAAAGTGTGCAATTAGTCGTGATAATAATAATAATGATAACGATTATAATGGTTCTATCATTTACAAGGAAAAAAGGTGAGGCTATCGGTGATAACAAGAATAACAAAAAACAGAATGATTAAATCAACAAATAATCGATAAAAGTTAAGAAAAATAAATGAACCGATTAAATAATGCTACATTGTAAGGAAAGTAAATAAAACACGCTTCAATGAAGATGTGATAAGATTATGGAATGATAAGAGAGGGGTTGAAAATACAAGAAAGGGGTGGTGGAGAAGTCATCAGTTGGTTATGTCTTAATAGGCCAATATGGGAGGGATAATGGCTGTACGAACTTCTTTTGAATGCATAGTTTAGGCTTAATAGTTCGAATGCTTATCGCTTCATCTATGTGCAGTAAACGAATACGAAGTCTACTGAAAAGATTCGTTGGGATAAGATGAATTACCTTGAAAGTTCTCGTCTTCTCCACTACATGACCACTATCAACTAAATGTAATAACATGGAACTACAGATTGATTTTGTCTGTCTTTTGTCAAACCGTGATGGGAGATGTTCAGTAACACGTTGGCTAAACTGTCTAGTAGTACTCCCAAGAAGAACTATCGCCACAAGTGCAGTTGAATTGATAAGTGCTCATAGTTGTAACAAAACTGTCTAGCTTATCCTTCGTTTGCGTCTCAATCATTTGTCTGCTAGGGAATGATAAACATAGGTATGCTGCGTAAAACATATTTCATATACTCCTGGAAAGTATCTGAAATAAAATCTCACTTGACAAGTCAGCATTAAGCTGTAACTTAATAAACAGAGGTTCGGATTCGGATGAAATTGTATTCTCTGAGCTTCAAATCTTCTCGATTATATGTAAATAGAAGTTCCTTACGTGCAACTGTAGTCTCAGGTTTTCTCTCCAATGTTTTTATATATGTTTCTACATGAAACTACTTGGATAGCCAATTTCCGTCAAGGAATCATGAATTTATTCAAATCCACTTTGTAAGTGATCATCCGTACATATCTTTCTTGCTCTGCTCGTGAGACATTTAACAACATTGCTTTTAATGTTTAATAGGCACGTAACTGAGGAAGTGTGTGTATTGATTGCCCTATGAATATGCTTCTCTCAAGTAAAGTTATGTATACTACAGTTAAAACTGATGAAATCTAACTGAAAACAATATTGTTCGCTTAAATGTGTTATTGTTCTAAATTTTACTATAGGAATATTTAATATTTTGAAATAATTAAGTGTTAAAAGGATTAACTGTTTATAGGATAATTAAATGAATATTTTGTAGGGACTGTGTTTGATTGGTTGGAGGGTAGACTACAGCAGGTTAAAGATGAGGCATTGACTTACCGAAGAAGACATTGCGAAGTGGTCACACTATATCATGATTTGGCAGAAGTTAGACTTCATGGGCTGGCTGGGAATTGAATTGGGTCCCAGTGGCTTAATGGTCTACGAGCTAGCTCGCTAGCCTTGTGACCAGAAGGTCCTGGATTCGAACCCTAGTGGTGGGTGCGTACTGTTAGAGAGTCACAAACTAGGACGATGCGAACAATAAAGTAGGTTACGTAACTATAGAAAATGTTCTCAAAAAACAGCATGAAAGGAGTAAGGTGAGTGAAGTTCAGATAAAATAATAAAATTTTCTAAACGGAACAAGGTATCTTTCTTTTCAAGAGTTGATATGTAAGGATTAAATTTGTTTTTCGAGTTTCACCACGGATTGATATCATTTAGAGAAACAATGAAAACCAGTACTGGAGTACTGAACAGCCAGCTGTTTCATCCTAGTTTGGGAATTGTTGGCAGTACGCACCCACTAACAGGGTTCGAACACAGGACCTTCCGGTTACAAGGCAAGCTTGCTCTTATACCAATCAGTCACTGGGCCCTGATTCACTAGCTCAATTGTTCTCTTACCTATCGATTTTCTCCAACTCTTTTAAAACTGGTCACAATATGACCATTGTCCAATAGGTGACGTGCGATCGCACTGTTTTCGTCATGAACAAACATTAGTTAGATAGCTCAATGAAAACCAGGAAGCACTGAGTAACTGTTTCGGCCTTCTCTGGTACTCCTCGACAGTGACCTCTGAGTTCTAACTTTGTCAACTCGTGATGTAGCACTACCGCCACTAGTGTCTCTGATTACTGTTCACTTCACCTTGACATAGTGGACTCCACTGGTCACGATTTCTCACTAGTATCTTCAGGAAATTCATCCAGCAGCCATCAGTGAGCTGGCTATTGATAGTTCAAATTGTGTTTGTGCTACTTTTAATCTCAGGTTCTTTGATGTGAGACAAATGTCATTTGAATGACGTTTTATCTAAAGTAATCATCACCATGATCACTATCTCTTTTGTTATTTTTTTTCTTTTCCTTTCAGTGTGTTATCTACTTATTCAGTTTAAAGATTCTACATCCTCGTAGTCTATTTCTTCTACGTGGTAATCATGAATGTCGTCATTTAACACAGTATTTCACATTTAGACAAGAATGTAAGTTATTACTGCTTTTTATTTTTTTGGGGGGCGTTGGGGAGGTTATCTTTTTGTTTTATTCCTCAATATGTTAGTGTTTATTGTTTCTTTACATTCAAAACTTGTTTTTACTGTTTGAGCCTACCACCTCATCAGAGGAAATGTTCTAGGTGAGTACATTACTATAAAAGTCTAGATTTTGGGCACGGTAGATTCAGCGGTGGAACGCTCGCCAACCACGCTTCACATGGTCTAGGGTTTGGTCCCCAGCTGACTCACTCTTAAACCCTCTCTAAGCCCGTAGTAAGGCCTGTACAGAAGAGAGCTTGGGCGTGAGGCTAGCAATACTGTTACGGAAACTTCAAAGCTCTAGCTTACTTTATCAAGAAACATATGACGAAGAAGGCCGAAAAGGACGACCCACTATCTGTAAACAAGAAACCCCTTTATATACGACTACAATTCAAGGGCGATAAACAAAGAAATTAAGAAAAGCAGTTCAAAGGACTTTTAATGCTGGCGAACTACACATCTTATTCTCTACAAGACCGATAGTGCTACCTTGACTGAAAGATGAAGTATTTAGACTGGCCACTTCATATTGTATTTATCAATTCAACTGCGCTTGTGGAGCGAGTTATGTTGGCCGTTACTCTAGGAACTTGATTTTTCGTGCTCGAGAACATATACCACTATGGCTAAGTAAAGGTGTAGTTAAAAGTATTAACAGCTCGATATTAGACCATCTGGTGCAAACCGGTCACAAAGCCAGCGTAGACGAATCCTTCTCCATAATATACCGGGTACCTAACAAACTACCAAAATCGTCAAAGCACCGCTTACTCCAAACAGCAGAGGCTATTGCAATTCGCCTCAAACAACCAGTGCTCTGTGTCCAAAAGAAACAAGTCCAGCCCCTACTACTGCCCTGGCTGGTCTTTCGTAGAGACCATAAACTCATGAATTTGTACTATTATCTTTCATAATTCTTGTGACATTCAGCTTATTTTATGTTGATGCTGTTCAGCTGTAATCTATCAATATTATTGATTTGATGTTATTTAAACATTAATGTCGTTCATAAGACTAATTCATTCATTCATTATAATGTATATATAATTGTAGAAACTGATGATGAATTTATCGAAAAGAGTTCTCTTTGTTCAGTGTCTATTCTTTTGAAAATTTTAATGGGCATTTTTATTCAATTATATATATTTATTGTTCCCTTGGGTTCCTAGTCGAACATAGGGCTTCAACTGCACGTCTCCACTTGCTTCTGTCTTCTGCTGTACTTTTCACCTGCAGTCATGTTACTCCATACTGTTTCAACTCCTCTTCACACGATCTCCTCCATGTCACCCTTGGACGGCCTACTCGTCACTTCCCTTTCGGGTTCCACTCGAGCATTGACCTGACGCGCGATGTCACCCAGCGGCCTCCTTAGCGAGTGTCCAATCCATCTACACTTTCTCCTGCAAATTTGTCGTTGTTTTGTTTGTTCCCATAGTTTCTTGTTAGTGATTCTTTCCGACCATCTGATCTTGAGTATAGAGCGAAGACAGTTGTTGTTGATAAGGGTCTGCAACAGGCTGTTGGAAATATTCTTTGTGACTCGCCGCCAAGTTTCTCATCCGTATAGAAGAACTGACTGACTTGACGTTTGTATTGAAAATCCGGAATTTGTTGTTGATGCTGAGTGACAGCGGAAGATTTCCAGATTGGTTTCAGGTTGATGAATGTGTTTCTCGCCTTCCCGAATTCGATATTAGATAGGTTTATTTCAGATATCATGCAGTAGTAATTCAGTATTAGTGACTGGATAGATATTAATATTGCATCACTGTGTGGCATTTGAAATAAACTTATCTAATATGGAGGACGTCACTATTAAGTTACTAAGTCAGGTTTCGGTGTTCGACTGACGTATGCACACAGCATCTGGACAAATAAAATTGATTTGAAGTTAGATTTCATCATGCACTGACATCATTTAGAGAATAGTTGGAAAACCAGAGAGTAGTGGGTAGCTGTTTCTTCCTAGCTTGGGATTCTTTAGCAGTACTTACCAATGACCTCATCATGGATCAAATTCAAGGCAACTGGGTTACGAGGTGAGCATATTACCATTCAACCAGTGGGATGAAACTGAGTGACTTAATGACTTTTAACTTCTGTTGATTGACAGGAGAGGACAGATACTCACCGATGACATCGGTTAACAGTGGTGCCATATATCATCAGTTGTTAGATGTGTTAGAATTACTGTTGAGTGGTTGAATGTTGATGTGTTCGCCTTATTGATTAAGACTATACCTGTTCATAGATTCATGACAATTCCGTGCTTTTCGTTGAATATGCACTAGAATAGGTATTTAACTTCTGTCATTTGGGACACACATCTTTCACTTTAGTTAAATTATTTATTATTATTATTATTCCGTTGGGTTCTGAGTGGAACATAGGGCTTCAACAGAACATCTCCACTTTGTTCTATTTTCTGCACTCCGCATCACCTGGGTCCACGGTTGCCCTCACCGACGACCCACTCCTTGTTTTCCCCTCGGGTTCCATTCATCAGCCTGACGCGTGTTGTCATTCGATGGCCTACTCAGCGTGCGCCTTATCTATCTCCATTTTCTCCTACATATTTGCTTAGTAATCGGTTCTTGGTAGGTTTGTTACACTGCAGAGTTCCTACTTGCTAATTCTTTCTGGCCAGCCCGCCAACTGGCCATTTGATCTTCGATATGGAGCCAGTGAAGGTGGCAGCTGTTGATAAACGTCTACTCTGGCTTGTTAGTAACAGTGCAAGTTTCTGACCCGAAGAAAGGAAGTGACTGACTGACTTTACATTTGTGTTGAAAATCCTAATCTACTTCTTGATGATGACTGAGTGCTTAAAATTTCCAAACTGGTTGATGAAGGCGTATCCCGCCTTTTCGACTATGGCTGGCTGACTGGTTTTAACATCTTCATCCGTGCTGTCTACCTGTGGTTGAAACGATGCTTCCTCTCCTAGATAAGTGAAAGAAATAACCTCATTGAAATCTCTCCCGTTGATGATTGATGCCGGTTGTTGTTTCTGTTGTTGTTGCTGTTTGTTGATTGGCTATCTTCGTCAACTCCATCTCTTTATGTGGCGTTAATTAAATTAGGTTTTCTAGAAAAAAATTTAAATTCTTTAGTTTGGTTTGTAAGGGTTAGTTTTGTTTTTACGAGTTTGACCACGGATTGATATCAGTGAGAGAATCATTGGAAAACTAGTACTGGGGTAATGGACAGCTGTTTCATCCAAGTTTGGAAATCATTGGAAGTACGCACTCACTGGGGTTCGAGCCCAGACCTTCCGTTTACAAGGCGAGCTGGCCCGTATACCATTCAGCCACTGGGACCCGACCCGATTCAATGGCCAGTCCATGAATTCTAACTTCTACCAATTCTTGATTTAGTGCGACCCCAACCATTTTCGTAGGTGGGACTTCCATCCTCACACATGACATCTGGATGTACCTCACTAGTCACGACTTCTCACTAGAAATCACTCCAGGAAACTCCATCATGTAGCAAGTCACTAGCGAGCATCAGATTGAATCAGGTCCCAGTGGCTGAATGGTATACGAGCAGCTTGACTTGTAGCTGGAAGGTCCTGGGTTCGAACCCCACTGTGGTGGGTGCGTACTTCCGATGATTCCCAAACTAGGGTGAAACAGCCGGCTGTGCAGTACTCCAGTGCTGGTTTTCAATGTGTCTCTAACTGATATCAATGCGTGATCAAGTCGTAAAAATTAAATTCACTTGTAAAGACTGAATTAACAGTTTGGCTTTGAGATGTCGACTCCCCTTTCTCCTCCTCTTCGTGCTCCACTAAAGAACGAAGTCTGGTGTTGTTTTTATTGATAAAGAATTTTTAAAAATAAATTTTCACCTATTTATCCATCAAAGTATGTTGACATTGGGAGAAATGGTGCTAATTTTTTTTAGTAATCAATCAACACAAATAGTAACACTTGAAAATATTCATTTAAAATACATCTGAGTGATAGGTTTCTTATTGTATTTTCAACGCAGAACTTAACACTCGAAAGTACAGCAGTTCAATTCACCACTTTTCTGTAATGGACACACTTTAATAATTGGAAGTTTACATGAGAAAGAATTATTGCTTAGGGAATAATCAAGATTTTTAAGTATTGGTGGGTGCGTACTGTGAGGAGTCCCAAACTAGGACGATGCGAACAGCTGTTCAGTACTCCCTACAGGTTTTCTAATGTTTCTCTAACCGATGTCAGCTCATGATGAAATCCCGTAACCAAATCAAGATTTCATAAAGAAGTGAATGGTTTCTGACATAGTGAGAATAATTTTGTGATACATCGCCAACACATACCAAGCCATAGCGTCTCAGAGAGCCTAACGAGTTAGTTTACACTTCCCTGGGTTACTTATGTGTATGTGTGAGACAGCTTTACTTCTTTCAACATATAAATGATCATTTCGAAGAGGAATTCATTTTATAGTGTGGAGTCCTAACCAGCGGCGTTCATTTAGTTGGGTGTGGGGGAAGATACTCACCGATGACATTGGTTAGCGGTTGCGCTATACCGTGAATTGACAGAAATTAGGACTGATGGGCAATTGGATTCCGTTACAGCCTTCTAACCAGAAGGACCTAGGCTCAACCATTGGTGGGATCCAACACAAGGACGAAACAGCTGTCCAGTACTCCTTGATTTTCGATATTCCTCTCTATTGAGAGCAAATCGTTATGAAAATTGATATTTTTAAGCATTTTATTTTTTGTTCCTGAATGTTTGCCATTGCCATAGAATGCCGAATGACGACAGAAATCCATATATTTCCCCCCTCCCCCATTCACGATTATTGTTATTATTACTATATCGTTGAATTTAGTAAGCTAATTTATTTTGAAGTAGTGTTATTGATCCCGACAGATAGTGAATAGATATTTGACTCTAGTGTAATGTCTCTCTTCTGAGTTACGGTTTCCAGTGAGATATATTCAAACTCGTAGAGACGTTACTCTTCATTAATGTGAGCAATATATCTTCAGTTAGTGAGTCCTAAGTCCGAGTTCTGCTGCATCTACTTCACTCTAGGCACCCAATTAGTATCATCAACCTTCCCCCCTCCCACACACACACATGCAAACACACACTAATATTGTCTGATAGCCTAGTAGATAAGATTTCTGTTTAAGATAAATGATCGTGGAGAATACCCATCGGGAAATTAGAGGGAAAAGAACGAGAAGTTCAGCAAAGACGGCGATGTTTTCGACGATTTCATTCTCAAAAGCTGTACAATCGCATTTAAATACACTAGTTTACATGGATACAATTATAATTTGTTGAATTCCACATAGTAACGAAGGAGATAGTAATTTTCAACTTGATATGAAAGTTTGAAGGTACGAATATGCATTACAAGGGGCTTAAAGACAAGATTACATAGGATTAGAAAACGGTTACAACGTGTGCAAAATTAATATTTGATAACTGGAGAAATAATTTTAAAGGCGAATAAAAGGTGACGATTATTTTCAACTTGATATGAATTACAAGAGGATTAGAAACAAAAATTACGCAGGGATGGAACGAATTACAAGTGTGAACTAATGGGGCATGGAAACAAATTGAAATCAAAATTTTCAACTTCAAATGTAATTTAGGAGGTTTGAATGTAGATTACAAGAGGCATAGAAACAAAAAATTACACAGGATTAGAATATAATTGTAAAATGGTTATTCTAAACGGATTAGAAGTGTGACCAGAAGGAGCACAGAAACAAACTTAACATAACTGACTTTATAACCGAAGAAAATGGGATGAATTGAGAAAATTACACACACAGATAACAAAACAAAAAACTGAAGGATAAGGGAACATACCGAACTAGGTCCGTGGTAGTTATAAAGGTTGGACTAGTTTCTTTTGAACACATAGCTCCGGCTATTCGATGCATATGGCGAGAGCTTCTACAGTGCAAAGAAGTCGGAAACACACTGTCTTTGGTAGATTTTTGTTTACTTTGTAAATGACTCTGAATGATGAGTCAGTTGAGATGCTGTGACAGATATTGACGAGGTATTCAGTTATTGCTCTTCTGATTTGGACGACTGCCTCCTCTTTGCAGCCATGGTGGATGATGTTCTCTAACACCTTTGATAAGACCTACATAGAACGACCTATGTACCTAGGTCCGCAAGTGCAGGTGAACTGATATATGCACATTGAAGTGGTCATATGCGGAAGTCTGTCCTTCCCGTTGCTCCGATGTAGTGGGTGGCTTGAGAATATCACTCTTAGAGTTGCTGCCGGAAAAGTCTTCTTCAAGGAATTGGAGATTCTCCTTTTAAGGATATCTGCAGCTATGCCCCCCTGAATTCCAGATTCAAATAAAGTGTTTTCTTTGGCACTGAAGTGTATTCTTCTCTTTTTGGCTTCGGTTCCATGTTCTTCTCCACAAAATGCGGTGGGTGACCATTTTGAACCAGGATGCTTTTGAGAAATACAAGCTCTTCTTCTAAACAGTCGCCGCTACAAATTCTTCTGGTACGGTGGGCTAGCGAGATGATGAGACCTTTTTTACGGCTGATAGGTATCCAACTGTAGAAGTTTGTCAGTTGGCCATCGATCTTTTCAGAGTTCCGTCATCTCTTCTTGTCAATTTGACGTCCAAGAATGGAATCTTTGATTCATTCATTTTCAACTTCCATTGTGAATTTAATTGGCGAATGGCAGTTATTAAACTCCTGTAATATACAATTTAAATCAGAATCATCCTGACAAATTGATGATCCTGATAACTGTAGTTCTAACAATGTATGATAACTTTTTCACATGATTCTATTATATGTATGTGTATATAACCATAAATAAATAATCTTTCTTTCTGTATTGATTCTATATTCAAAAAAGGTATTATGAAAAGTACAGAACGTGTTTATGAAGCTTGTATGGAAGCATTCGACTGTTTGCCTTTAGCTGCATTAATCAATCAACAATTCTTATGTGTACATGGTGGCCTATCTCCTGAATTGCATACTCTGAATGATATTCGAAAGGTAATAGTTTTTGTTGTTTTGTTTCTATTTGTGGGTTTTCTTTTTTGGTTTTTAAATTACGAATCAGTTTGGTAAACTGATGACACTGAGATCATCGCAACTGTGTAAAAGCTTATATACTCGATTCTCTTCCGATGTGATACTAACATCACTTAGCGTCATCTATGTCTAACATCACAGTAGTGATAGACAAATGGGCCATTGGATCGAGTCCCAGTGGCTTAATTGTCTACGAGCTCGCCTTGTATCCAGAAGGTCATGGGTTCGAACCCTCTGTGGTGGGCGCGTGCTGCCGAAGAGTCTCAAACTAGGACGAAGCTGCCATCCAGTACTCATAGGTTTTCCATTGGTTCTGTAACTGATGTCAGCTCACGATGAAACGCTCTATGGAATAAAAAAAAATCCCTACAAAAAAAACTAATACTTGAAAATAATAAAGTCAACAAATTAGACTGACTATATATTATTTATAATTATTACCTCCTGTAGTTCCTAGAGGAACATGGGGCTCCAGCTGCACGTCTCCATTGTGTTCGGTTCTCTGCTGAAGTTTTCACCTGGCTCCACATGCTTTCATCTTTTATTCACATCACCTCTTTCTCCATCGCACCCTCGCACTGACGACCAACTTACTCACCGATTCCCATTCGGGTTCCACTCGAGCGATGGCCTGGCGTGTGATGGATGTCACTTGATGATGGTTTGTTTTCTCAGAGTATGGCCAATTTAACTCAATTTCTTCCTGCATTTTTGTTGCACAGTTGGATCCAGGTTGGTTCGTTCATTGCCAGAGATTCCTGTTTCTGATCTTTTTCTGGCCGACCATCTGATCTTGAGTAGTATGGAGCGAAAATAGCTAGCTGTTGATGAAAGTCTGTAGTCTGTTTGAAGTGCTATTCATGACGCGCCAAGTTTCTGACCCATAAGGTAGCAATGGTTTCACATTGGATTTGAAAATCCGGATTTTTTTTTCATTTTCATTCTGAGTGATGTTGATCTCCACACAGAGTTGAGAGAGAAATGAAAGCTTGTCTTGCTTTCCAGATCGTCGCTTTAATATCTTCATCAGTTCTATCCGCCTGTAGTTGAAACGATGCTTCCCAGATAGGTAGGTAGGTAGGTAGGTGAAGGAGTTTGCTTCTTTCAGATTCCTCTGATTTATGCTGATTGTTGTCTGTTGTTGTTGCTGTTGCTGTTGGTCAGGAGTCTTCGTCACTTTTGTTTTTTCCATGTTCACCTTAAGTCCTATCTTCTCTGGATGTTTCTTCTGCTAACTTGTTGCTTTTCACTTGCAAATCTTCGAGTTTGTGGGAAATCAGACACATATATCACATTGACGAAGTCCATATCGTCCAAGTTTTTGTGTGGGTCCATTTTATGCTTGTTCCCTCGTTGCTCGCCGCTGTCTGTCGCATTATCCAGTCTACCGCAATCTTACTCCCGTTTCCACGGAGGTATATATATGTTGAAAACAATTTCCCCACTGTTCGTATCTCCATTGGTTTATTTGTCTGTATTCGACTAGCATTCAAGCTTTCACTACTTGCGTTATTAGAAGGACACCAAGAAGTCTTCAAGCTTCAAGCATTGAAGTTTCAGTAGCTCTGGTGTTGTCTTGTGTTTACTAGAGGGGGTGGTGGTGGTGCTGCTGCTCGTGCTGGTGGTATGAAGGGCGATTGCCAGTTGGTTGCTAGTCTCATACCCAAGCTTATCTCTTTTCTCTTTCTAAACTCACTACCAGTTAGTTTAAATAGGCAAGATTAGTGTGTTTTAGATTACTTTTTCATAAATATTATTCACAATACATACATAATAGTTTCCGGTGAAACGATTACACGTTGTTTTGTTGTTGTTGTTGTTGCTGTTGTTATCTATTTACCCGATTATTGTCTATTGTTATTGTACCTTTGTTTTTCTTTTAAAAGCTTTGCTTTGCTCTGCTCTACTCTGCTTTACTTCTATATTTTATTGTTTTGAATTTCGTTCACTCTCAATTGATCAGTGTCATTAGGATTTAGAAGTATTCGCGTGTCTGTGTTTATGTGTATTTGTGTGTTTGTGTATGTGTGCGTGTGAGTGTGTGTATTCAACTGTGAAATACTAGACAGACCAATGTATTCACCTTTCGTATACTTCTTTTCTTTATTCAAGCAATTATTATTATTATTACTATTTTTATTTGGACGATATTTGGTATAGTCAATAATTCATATTATATATAGATGAATGGATAGATTATCAGTTTATAATGAAATGCGCTTTGAGTACTCTACTGTGTCACTCTTTGACGGGTGGTGTTAGCTGACTGACATAAGATGATTTAGGTTGGAGAAGAGCTAGCTAGTGGTGTTGGTCAAACCAAAACATGGCTCCATCAATCAATGAAATCCACAACAGTTAGTTTAAGACAAGAAGGAAGATGTAGACATCCTGACTGGTTGGGGTCCTCAGGACGTTAAAAATCAATGACGGTGGCTGGAGACAATTACCGGTGATATGGTTGGCTCAAAATCATTCTCAATAGCTGGTGCAGATGCATCCACTCCTCGTGCCTTATTATATTATCATTATTATCGTTTCCTTTAATTCCTAGAGGAACATAAGGCTTCAGCCTTGCGTCTCCATTGCGTTCGGTTCTCGGCTAGAGTCTTCACCTGGCTCCAAGTCTGCCCACATGCTTTCATCTCCTCTTCACATGACCTCCTCCAAGTCACCCTTGCACTGACGACCAACTCGCCGCTTCCCTTTCAGGTTCCACTCGAGCTATGGCTTGTCTAGTGATATCACTTGATGGTTTCCTCAGAGTATGACCAGCCAATCCATCTCCATTTCTTCCTGCCTATTTGTTTCACAATCGGTTCCTGCTGTGTTGGTCCGCTCCCAGAGATCCCTGTTGCTGATCTCTTTTGGCGGGCCATCTGATCTTGAATATTGAGCGAAGACAACTGTTGATGAAGGTTTGTAGTTTGTTTGAGATGCTCTTTATGACGCGCCAAGTGTCTGATCCCTATATTAAGTAGCACTGACTGACTTCACATTGGATTTGAAAATCTGGATCTTATTTTAGATTCTGAGTGCCGTTGACCTCCACACAGACTTATAATATCCAATAAAACTAAATTGTTCTTCGATATTACTATTCTTTTTGCCTTATATCTATGTTTACTCTGTCTATTTTGCATTTGTTTTTACTTTCTTCTATGACTTTGTGTGCTGAGTGAAGTGTGGAGACTCGAACTGCTGCCCACTGGTGCAGACTCTTAAAGTTTGTTTTCTTCTCTGTTAGTGTCTCCCTAATAATATGAATGAAATAAACTAGCAAGTAAATTTGTATAGAACTATATACTACTGATCGGTTGAAATGAGTAGTTGTTCTAACACTCAAGTCAAGCAGTAATGCGTGCCGGTTAACCAGATCGAGGTGTACTAAACAGCAGACGGTCGTTTTACGTGTTTGAGGTCGAGCTCATCAGCGGTATACCCAGTTTCACTCAGCTCAAAGGGACGGATCAGTACAAAACAACCGTAGTAAGCCCAGTGAAGAGGTAAAGTTAAGCGGCCAAGTTATCTTTAGACATCTGAGATACGCCGGAGTATCAAATGCCTGTACAGCGAGCAACCCTAACTATGTCTAACCTTACCCTCATCTATTCCTAACATAACTTTAACCCTAATACATTTCAATCCAACCTTAATATCTACCTAATACGGTTAATCTAACGGTAACCTGTGCCTAGTCTTAAGTTCCTAACTTAACCTAAAACTAACCATTTATCCTGTTTTATATCAGTACACTTCATCCAGCACTTTTCTTCATGCTTTACTAACGAGGGTGTTTCAATCTCGTACATTGGTACGTTGGCACCTTTTAGGTGTCCGGAATTGAACTTTGTCTCTCTGGTTTGCTGTTGACAACGCTACCACTTTAAAAACGATACTACAACCAATGAACTTTCAAACCTCGAAACCCTTTTTTCTCTCGAGGAATTCAAGGAGTGAAAAAAACACATGTATACCACCCGTTTGATGTGTCAATTCTTTAGTGTTAGTTATGACGAAACTTTGACAGTTAATTCTCAATATGGTCAACCCTCTAGGAGACTGATCATTATGCTGGATATAAGAAAATAAATCACTGTTGCCAGTTTCTACTAGTGACCAGTGACTAGTCAGTATAAATCCGTTACTGTGCTAAGTGGTGTCCGCCAGGGATGCCCACTGTCCCTATTTCTGTTTAATTCCATCATTGATATACTAATGGAATTAACCCTAACTGCTGACTTTAGCGACTCAGAGATTGACTTGTTACCAGGGAATAATCTCATTGACTTAGAATATGCAGATGATGTAGTCCTTCTAGGTGAGGTGAAGACACTGACAAAATGCATAGTCTTCTGAACACCTTGAGGAGCAACAATCTTCGAATGTTTGGCATGCAATTCACTACTTTTGTCAAATGTAAGATTATGATACAGGACTGGAATGGACTACATCGACTCACTCCTAGCTTATAGATAGACAGGGGTGAAGAGGTGGCTTAGTGTTTTGACCAATTCACTTACTTTAGAAGTTACATTAGCGGGTTTATCGTTGACGAAATCTCAGCACGGATACAGAAGGCTTGTTTGGTATATTGCTAACTTATTCCATCTCTGGCGTAGATGTGATATTTAGCTGGCTATCGACCAAAGTGCAGGTGTAGTGCTCAGCAGTTAGCTCCGTCCTCCTTTATGGCTGTGAGACCTTGCCATTGAAAGTGGAAGACATGAAAAGTCAGATTGATTGTTTTTGAGCATAGGTGTCTGCGTTCTATCTCCCGTGTTAGGTGGTGGTATATTAAGCGTCAAATGCTAGGTAAGGCTGGGGAAATCTCTCGATGAAGTTGTGAAGCTACATCGATTGAAATGGTTAGCACATGTGCTACGCATGCACTATTAGCCATTGTCATCCTCGATGGTCAGTGTTTTAGCTGACATAGGATGGATCAGGTTGGAAGAGAG